TTCTCTCTCTCCTCTTGGATGTTGTGGTTTGCAAAAGAGGCATTGAGTGGCAATCATGTTTGGTCTATAGTCTACTTTCAGCAAGGAGCAATACCTTTCTAAAGAAAGTATTTTCTCCTTTACTTTGAGAACTTTTTCCAAAATAAAACCAATTAATAAACCCTTAATCATCTTAACTAACTATACTCTAGTGATACCAACATTTTGTATGTTTGGTCCCAAGATAATTGTTATCAACTGTGGAGACAAAAGACTCAGATTCAGTGTAAAAGATTTTTAGAAATAATCCACAAAAGGAAGAAGAAAGAAGGAAAATGTTTCTCTTTCCCTCCCAAACCAGGAAAATGTTATTAGCAGATTTATCATTTTTTTTAAAGTGTACATGAGCTCTAGCTGGTTACAGTGCCTATACATGCTAGAGTGCTAGTGGGTAACGAAGTGATCTCTTGATCAAGCATGTCTCTACTAGTTGTAGGGAAAAGAAATTAGTTGTGTTCACAGATTCTAAAAATAATATGGTTGTCCTTTCCATAGTTCAAGATGTTCTAGATATCTCTCTTTCTCTTTCTCTCTTTTTACCACATTAATTTTAACATCTACCTAAATCTGTAATGATTCCTAGTTGGAGAAGTTCACACTCAAACTAGCAGAAAGAGATATTTGCATTTGAATTTATTGGAGATAAAACTGAAGGAGAGAAATCCACATAGACTTGAGGTGTCAATAAGTCTGATGGTGGAGGCAAAATTTGAGATGAGTCTTATTGAATACTAAAATGGAGATGAATATCATTGGGAGTGAAAAAATAGGGAGACAGGAAGAATCAGGATGAGAATATCATGTTGGAAGACGGAGATGAACATAAATATATGCTGGAGGCTTACAGGAGTTAGGACTGGCAGAGTATGAAAATTCAGTCTTACTCTCCTCATCTGCCATGTTCTTGCTAGGTAACAATGTTCATGGAGGAAGGTTATAATGTCCAAGTTTCCCTTCAGTGTTGGAATCCCATTCAGATAAGTGAGGTTTGAGATTTTCCTGGGTCCCTTAAATGCAGAGATGATAATGAATTTGGAAAGCCAGGAGACAGTTGTTTCTCTATTGGGGGAGAGGGGTAAATGAATTTCAATGAATTAAATAAATTTCAAAGGGGAAAATTTTGAGCTAAGGAGCAGCTCTCTCTCTCTCTCTCTTAAAGATACAGACTAAGTAAAGAGAGCAATGTTTACTCAAGGAAAAACTAATAGCAGAATTTCAGGTAAAAGTTCAGACAGTATTAAGCTCATGCTAAGTAGTTCACTATCAATGCTGTCTGCAAGGTAACTGAAAAGCATCACACTTTTGATTTGAGGGCTCCTAAATTGTGTTTCTTCATGGATTCCAAACAAAGAACATGAGAACAAGTGAAGTCTTCCACTCAATAGAGAGCAATCTAGGTAATCACTGTTGCACTGTACCACCATTCTCCCATTGTTCATCAATTTGCTCGAGTGGACACCAGTAATAACTCCATTGTGAGACTTACTGTTACTGTTTTTGGCATATCGAATACGTCACAGATAGCTTGCCAGGCTTTGGCATGCAGATGATATACTCTCGGTAGCTTGCCAGGCTCTCCGAGAGGGCAGAGGAATCGAACCTGGGACGACCAGGTAGGCTGTACACCCTACTCACTGTGCTATCGCCCATAAGGGTATTGTTCTAAAATAAACTATGCAAACAACATAAAGAAAAGAGAAAAGCAATATTTCCTTTTCATATACAAAATCCAGAGCCCTCAGAAGAATTTTTTTCATTTTTTATAGTTTTATTTATTAAATCATCGTGAGAGCAGTTACAAAGCTTTTGGGTCTAAGTCTCGGTCATACAATGAAACACCCGTACCTTCACCAGTGCCCATTCTTCACCCCCATCAACCCCAGTATACCCCCATCCTACACCCTCCCCCTAGCTGTAGGGCAGATGATTTCCACATTAGTCTCTCTCTACTTTGATCAAATTCAATATTTTGACGTCAGACCTACCATTATTACTTGATATTTTACCCCAACACTCAGATCTGCTGAAAATGCAACAGTAGACTATTTGCTTTCTGTTGCTAGTTATGAATAACATATGATGTTGCGTGGCTGCAGTAGTGGCTGCGTGATTTTGAAATTTTGAAATTTTAACACTTAAATCTGGAGGGATTTCTGCCAAAACCTGCTGGGTTTTGAGAATTGTTCCTGAGTCTCTGGGACCATGGCCATTAAGCAGCTTGATCAGGAGCCAGAAAGGCTGTTCGTGGGCGATGACTTGGGGTCTCTATGGGGTGGGGAGGACAGGACCAGCTCCACCCCCATCCCATGAGGCCCAAAATGTCTCATCACTGTGGGCCCAAATCTGACTGTCCACTGGGTTCTGGAGGAAGATGGCCACCAAGCTGCCAGGGGGAAGCAGGCGGAGGGACAATACACTTTCCCCCCTGGGGTGGTCCGGCGACAGTAAGCTACTGTGTGGTCCAGATGCATTTCTGCCAAAAGCCACTGGGTTTCAAGATTTGTTTCTGAGTCTCTGGGGTCATTGCCATTAAGCAGCTTCATCAGAAGCCAGAGAGGCCGTTCATGGGCAATGACTTGGGGTCTCGTTGGGATGGGGAGGACAGGACCAGTTCCATCCCCATCCTGTGAGGCCCAACAAGTTCCGTCACTGTGGGCCCAAACCTGACTGTCCAATGGCCTCTGGAGGATGGTGGCCACTGAGCCACCAAGGGGGAGCAGACGGAGAGAGCCCTCAGAAGAAATTTGACTTTACAAGTTACAGGGTCTGATTTGGGAATACAAGTGATTAATAAAGGAAGAAGAGCACAAAGGAATGGTTAAAAATAAACAGAGAATTGGAAGTACCTGATGGAATTGGGTGTGCCTCAGGAACATTGTGATGGAACTAAGGTAATCACTATCACCATAATTTGAAAGATCTGCTTCTTTTATATTTAATAAATCTTTATGCAATGCTGGTAGGTATTTTTCTTTATTAGTACTTGCTGAGGAAAAGAGAGAGACAGACAGAAAAACATCTAAGCAGCAATTCACCGAACTTGATGAATGTAAGAAGCATTGGAGAACTAGACAACTAATTGAAATGTTTGTTTGTGTATGTGGGGTAGGTGTGTGTGTGTGTGTGTGTGTGTGTGTGTGTGTGCGAACTAAATGGAATAGCAAACTCTTGGCCCCAAAAGCTCAAGGATTCTAAGTCAGTGATTCTGAAGTTATACATTTAATCCAATGTTTTAAATTAGTGATTCAGTTATTTCAGTTATAGGTGGTCCCTGTTCATAATGAGAATCATTTGACAATATAATAACAGGAAGTAGAGGTCAAGAATAAGAGAATTGGAGTGGAAGCCACTTAGGCTAAGTAAGTCTTCATGTTGATTAACAAGGGAAGATTCCATAAGCTAGGTTTAGGCCTACCAACTGACACTAACTCAAAACTAGACTTGTTTTCCCCATGTTTGTAAAATAGTCCATTTGGAAACCGCAAGAAAAGTCCATTGGCACAGAGCAGATCAAAATGAGTGTAAGAGGGACTGTTGACAGTACTGAGTTCCCATGGCAACTGTGATTAGTGAACCTTTTGAGCTGAGAAAGCTGTGTGTAAAAAAAGATGAAGCAAAATCTGTGCTAAAAAGGTTACTGTGTGGCTTATAAAGGATTAATGTATCTGTGGTAATCTCCTTTATACCTCAACTAGATCTGAAGATATCTAATTAATGAAAATAATTTTTTTGCCAAAATGGGTTTGCACATAAAGGGCTAGTAGACAGCTCAATTCACCAAAATGGAGCTTTTTTTTTCTTTTGTGTTTTTCCAAATTTTTCTCATTATTTGGAGTACTATAGACCCCTCCAATTGCTGAATAAGTCGATCAAAAACAAATTGAAACACAAGGAAGATAAAGACAACTTTGAAAAACAACTACCACCGATTTTTATTTAATTTAAAATATTATACATGTTGCTTCATTTTCATGGAAAATATTGAGTTAAAAACACCAAAGTGTTAGTTTCAGAAACCTTCATGCACCCCATTTTGCCACCTGCTTCTTTTTTTTCTTTTCTTTTACTATCCATGGCATTAATCTATGTAAGGAATCGGAGCCATGTGAAACTGGATATTTCTTTAAATTCAAACCTACTGGTTTGAGCCGTTTTCTCAACAGTGTTCTGTCAAGTTAACTTAGATACACCAGTGTTTGCTTTCTTGCAAGTAAAAAGAAGTTGCACTGAAGGCAAAATCACATGCCAACACCAATTCAGCCAAACACATCAATAAGAATCTGCTCCAACCTCATTACCTAGTCAGCTGACAAGTGACCTTATATTCTACCTGATGTATTAGTGTCCTGAGCCCTTCCACAAAACATCCTGTGAAAGTTAGGAAGACAAGGCTGCATAGTGTTTGTATTCAAAACATCAGCAACTACACAAGCCATGTAACCCCCAGGCATAATACTATCAAATGAGATACATATTGGTACAATACAACCTTTGGAATTACTGGCTAAAATATAGCCACATAAGTAATTTTAAAGTCTTTATGTAATTATATAGTTGTTAAAATATAACAGAGTAAAAAATAAACTTGAAAAATATTTCAGCAAGACTTCTCATACACTACTACATGGTGTGTACAATATTAGCCTCTCTTTTCCCTCCTTTACTGTCTTTAGACTGTTCCATTCTCTCACTTATTTTCTAGAGCCCATATCTTAATGCTGCCTCCACATATTACTACCAAGTAAACTTTTACTAAAATTGAACCTGATGTGACAGAAACATTCAGTTTTGTTTTACATTTACATTTGTAGTACTCTAATTTTAGTTCTGCATCCAGCTTTATATTAAAGAGAGATGAATACCCCCCAAACACAAAAGAAACAAAAACAGCTGGGTAGGAAAAAAATCAGAATTGCCTCAGCTCTTACAAGAAAATACTCTCTTTTCTTCATAATTGCCTCTCAATTGATGGGGATAAAATAGGGCTGAAATTGCTTTTCACATTCTGGCTCTGTTGGGGGCATTTTCACATATACCCCTGTAGTAAGAAGGCTTCTTTTCTTTAGCTGCCAAAACACACATAAAAAATAATGATTATTAATGAGGAATACATAAATCACTTTTAACTAAAATTAATCATAATACCTAACTACTGGCTGGCTATATCAATGAAAAATTAATTATTGAAGTATTCAGAAGTATAAGCTCCGGTAAATGTTAGTCAGTTATTATGATTCATTTTAGATAAATAACTTTGTGCTAATTATGTAAACTAGCCATTCCTTTTTTGGCTGGAAATAGTAGAGAAAAAAATTTTTAAGAAAGCTTCAGAAAGAGCATTCAAAATGCATGTAAATGTCAATCTTGTCTTTGAGGGGACAAACTTGATATAGTAACACATTTTATGTAAGTGCTTGAGATCTATTCCTCAAATCCTACACTCATAAACATTTTATACCTTTTCCCTGTTTGTATTAGTTCCCAGTTTTTATCATGTCAGTGCAGTTAGTTTAGTCTACCAGTCTGCATAGCAGTTTGTAGCAAATGAGGTAAGGAGAGGCTATAGCAAAGTCACAATTGAGTAAAGGATCTTGGAATAAACTGTATGTGTGAGGGTAGGGGTGGTTAAAAAAAAATGAAAAGAGGAAAAAAATTATGATGGCAAGGACAGTCTTGGGTAGAGGTGGCTGAGAAGGATTATGAAAAAGAAATACTGAAAGATTTGATTCCATGTCCTCCTCTTATGCCACAAATTATAGGAAATAAAAACTGGGGTTTTCACTAACCCAGTGTAAGTGAAAGGTCAAGACTTCACAGCCAGAACACTTGGTCACAGGAAGATCTAGACAAGAGTTATATGGACAGTACAGCTTGGGCAAGAAAGGAAGGCACAAGTTGGTGGCACCAAGACAAAGACTCCAGGTAAAACAGAGGGAAAATAAGAGAAAAAATAAAATACATCCATTTAGTCTCCAGCAGTACTGTGCCCAACCTTATCTTGTGTTTAAGAACAATTATCATGAAGATAAGAGCAAAACAGCTGCCCCATATTATTTAAATGGTTACTCATACTGAAACCCTGTTCAGAAGCACACAAACATTCAACGTCAAACATACTCATCTAAATTATTACTCATCCTGAAACCTCAAAGGCCAATGCCAGTGGTTCTAGTGCGTTCTTTACCACTGTCCTTACTCTTCTTTCTATTTTTTCATCTCAAGAAAACTCAAACTCAACAGCGTCATTTGGTCAGTTATCACTAAAGGTATCCCTGCCCCTTGCCCCCACCCCCATACACAAAATGATGTGTTGTCAGCATAGTACTCACCATTTTGCTCAAAGAAACAGCTGTGAGAAGGCAGCTGTACAAAAACAAGCCTGAGCTGACTGCTGCAAGGATCCAAAGGAGAAAATCAGAATCTGGGCATGGTTCTGGGTCTGCAATGGAAAGCAAAACAGAACATCCCTGAGTCACCCTTTAAATCTTAGAATCCTGCTCCTTCTTACCTGGTCAAAGCACAAAGAGCAGGGCTTGGGGTGGCGTGTACTTTTAGACCTTGAAGTCCAACCCCAAATTGTATTTCTACAGCCATGGGTAAGGTGGGAATTGAGGCCCTCTCTTGCCCAGCAGCATCATATCAAAGGCATGAAGCCAAACTTCTTTATAGGTCTCACCTTTCCCGAACATCTTTGATATTTATAGTCAGTATGCTGCTTGAGTCACTACCCATACCTAGCAATTCTACATTTTGGTGTGCCAGAATGCTTTTAAAGATCATTTTTCCACATTACTATAGAAATTATGTGATAGACTTCTTTCGATAAAAAAAAAAGCTATTCAAAAGGGGTCAGCTTCATGATACAGTTTTGCTCACCAATGACATAAATCTGGGTTCCGTTGCCCATGCCCAAGAAGTAGGGGGGTGGATACAAGAGCTCCACCTTGCAGATGTAGAGTCCGGTGTCCATGGCTCTCAGCCCTTGGAGGGTGAGGTTCACTTTGTTTCCACTGGAAGTGCCAATACATGTGGAATCATCTAGGAAGTTCAACTCTTCCTCTATAGTGAATGTCGTAGCACAGACTTCAGTCATCTGACTATCCGCCTGCCGTAGCACAGTCACACGGACCTCAGAGGCTTTGCCGGAAGATGCAAACTCACACACAAAACTGGCGACACCCCGGCTGCTGGCCAGCACCACTGCAGGCTGTGTCACATGCATTCCTAACACGGGAAAATCAAAGAGTGAACCCATGCCTATCCACAACCAGGCAAAACCTCAGATCAAGGAAAAGCTTACATATGTTGCACCACACTGAATTTCACTTTTCAGCCCTTCTTTTCGTTCAACAAACAACCCCCCTCCCTTATTTTTTTTCCTTCTCTATCCATCACCAGTTCCCCTCCATTTCACAGTTATCTTTCAGCTCCTCTCCCTAAAGATGTTTCCATATAAGAAATATCAAGTCTCCTAAAGGTGGTAGATAAGCAGGAAGAACATTGATATGACCAACAGAAGATATGATTCTTCCATGAAATATGTGTTTTGAGCTATTTCATGCCTACCGATGACCTTCATTTTCACTCACATGTCATAGACCATATGTTATCAAAGTGTCATCAACTTTGATACTTTAAGGTTACAATTGGAGTTCCTACATTGGAACTGTAGGTCAAGAACTATGATGAATAGTAGAAGAAATCTTTAAGGTTGAGGCACAGAATCTTTCCTTATCCTTCAAAACAGATTTGAAAAACCTCTGCTTATATTCATCTGATTCTATAAGTACCACTAGAAAATAGCTATGCTTTGCTTCACTCCATGGGTCACTCCCTGCCAGGGATTATTTTCAGAGAGTAAGGGATGTATGATATGAAGGAAGCCACAGAATAAGGGCACCAGGTCATTTCCTCTATGGGCTGTGGCAACTCTGCTATTGACTTTTGTGGGCTTCCCCAGCCACCAACACCTTTTCCACCTCTCTCCATCACTTGAGCACTCTTTTGTTCCTTTGTTTTTTGCTCTTAGTTCTACAGGACAATGAAAGGCAACCCCTCTTACAAAAAACCTTGGTCCATAGCCGCAGTACAGCACTGCAGGTAGGGTGCAGGTAGGGTGCTTGCCTTGCATGTGGATGACCTGGGTTTGATTCCCAGCACACCATATGGCCCCTAAGCTCTGCCAGGAATGATCCCTGAGCACAGAGCTAGGAGTAAGCCCTGAGAATCTCTGGGTGTAGCCAAAAAACAAGACAAAAAAAAGGTTTGATACTCTCCATGATCTAGTCCTTTGTGTGCTAACACATACTTATCACTCCATCATGAGTTTCCAAGACACCTATTCCAATATATAAATAATACAATTCTGAAAGCACTAATATTTACCCCTGAGAACCTATACCAGGCAACATCTGTCCTTAGAATAGAGAACAGTGACAAGAGCTATCTCCCTGGTAGTATTGCCTAAATAAACAACAGTCCAGCCTCCATCCTCAGTCCTCATCTTCCTTGCTTGGAGATGCTCTTGTATCATCCCTTGCCCTAATAAACTCCACTGACATACTTAATTAATCAAGCTATGCCTTGGATTAGTTATTCTGCACTAATCACATCTCTTCATTTTCTTCCTTTGACTCATAAATTCCAGAGAACAGTTGTTTATAAACTATCTAATGGGCACTCAATAATAATTATATTAATGACTCTAAATTTAACATAAAAATAACTCTAAGCTTGCGGATCAGTTTTCCAGCCTTTCCCCAGCAGGTTCCCAACTATTACCTCTAAATTGATTACACTTAATTTTCCCATAGCTACCATGTAAGGATCCCAGTTATAGGTTAAAATAAATTTATTTAAAATATGTATTTAATTTCTTCTAAGGATATTTCATTTTTAGGTGTTCCAAATATAAAAAATAAAAGGAAGTATAGGAAAGTTTTATTCCTAAAAAATTAAATCATAGTGTCTTTTTAGAATCTACTTCATAAAAACTACATGGATTTTTTTTAACTGAGGTGGTCTAGGAAAATAAAGTTTGAATTCAATAAGAATGCTTACCATCTCAAGCCATGTAATAAACCCAGCTATCAATTTCTAAAGGGTTTTTCATCTAAAAATGGAGAATTCTGCATTTGAAGTCCACAGATAAGAGATGGAGCAACTTAGCATCATGCTAAGCAAAATGATTACTCTCTTTTCTTTTGTTCTTTCTTTCTCTCTTCTTTTTCTCTTCCTCCCTTCCATTTTTTCTTCATTTTTTGTTTTAAAATCTTAAATTGTTGTCATTTTATAAAATATATAATCAGCTAGTTAAGTTATAGAATGAATAGAGTGAGATCTTTGATTGAGTAAATGTAGCATTTTTCTATGATTTACTCAAATTTTAAAAAAACTAAATAGTGATTTTATAAAAATTAGAGAATCTTGAAGCCTTGAATTAGGTAGGAAAGCAACCCCTGACTTGTTTACTTCAGTGTTTATGAAAAAGATAAATATTGAACTACCTGATTCCAAGCTCAAATGTATTCAGATCTCTAGACATCTTTTCTCTCTTATATCACTTAACCTTACATTATTACTTTTCAATTTTATAAAATTATATATTATAAAAGTTATATGATATTGTCCAAATATTCCAAATCAATGCAAATCTATTCATTAAACACCTGATGTTCTGCTAGAAGCTGTATCTCTCTTTGCTGCTATTGTTTCTTGCCTGCCTTGGAATACAAAGCCATATAAACCAGGAGATTGGAGTTTATTTTTAGTTTCTAGCTTTGCTATAAATCCACATCCTTGATAGAAAAAGAAATAAAACCCTGGTTGGAGAAACACCTCCTCCACCTTCATGCTCTAAAAGCTTCACTCACCTTTGGAGAAGATAGGGATGAAGAGCAGAGATAGCAGGGCAGTGCAGGACAAGGTCCCTGGAGTCAAGTCCAGCTGAGGCCCATGTCCCTGGGATCCAAAACAAGGCATGGCTTTATGGGAGCTGTGCTCAGGTCTTCAGGAAGCAGAGTGAAAACTTTCAGGATCCTGAAGCTTTGAAATGTGTTTGAACCCACACAGAATAAGGACTTTATATAGCTGGCTTTGATCCCAGATAATGTGCATGTACAGAAGGTACCTGAATAAAAGTCTTTTTGTTTTGGTTTTACGAGAAAGGAAGCCGTGGGTTTAGCTGTTACGTCGAAATTATAACCTCAAACACTCAAAGTAAAACTGAACAAAACAAGCCAATCCATGGATGGAAAATGGCACTCAATTTGAAACTGAATCCTGGAGTGCAGGACTACACCTAAGTCCCAGCTTTATCCATATATTTAGGCATCTTTTACTATCCAATTCATTTTATTGACACCCTCACAACTGCTTTAGGTTAGCTTTCTGAGTGCTGGACTTACTGTCAGAATTACTATGTGGGCATAGTAAAAGTTGGGCAATAGATATATGGTGGATGTGAGACTCCAACCCTGGAGTGTAAACTCAAAGATTTATTTCTCTTAACTTCATTCAACAATTTTTAAGAACAGATATCAAAAATCACAGTAAATAAGCTCATCTGCCTTGGGATTTTTCTAATTAGGAAAGAAGTTAGTCATTTTTAAGATTCCCAACTCAACAAAAACAAGACAGAGTTGGAGACGTCTAGAAAAAGGCTCCCAAAATGATCCCAGAGACTGAAACCTTCCCTAGAAGAAGTGTAGATTTCTTTCCCTCCTAAGGGAAATTTTTCAAGCCAATCATCCAAGAACTAAGATTAAAAGTGACTGGATTAAAGATAACTTAAGTCTTCTTTCATTGCCACCTTTAATTGTGTGATTGTTGTGAGGCCTTACGAATGGATCTCACATATACTTGGCTGTATTGCCTGACACTGGACTTCAGTGCTTGGTGGGAGTTGCAATGCTTGCAAATGTGCTTGCTAGAGGTCCCTCTGCAGCTCATATACATGCTTTCCAAGGATTGCATTCCTAGCCACATTTTAGGTGGAGTGCTCGCACACACCTAGCTGTGCCCCAGAGATAACATACTCTGCTGTGAGCCGGGGAATCCAAATAGCAGAATCACTAGGACCATGCATGGCTCATACGGATTGTATTGGGGATTCAATCATTAGTCTCACACTTGAAGGCTAGAGTCCTTTGTCACTAATATATCCCCAGCCCAGACTTTATATAAGTTGTAGACAGGACAAAATATTCATCTAATAAAAGAATACTAAGAATTGGGGACCCCTTAGGACTGGAAAGTGCTCAGAGCCCAGAGAGATAGTATAAGGGTTAAGGTTAAGGGGTAAGGTTAAGGCCTTGCATTCTTCCAACCTGAGTTAATCCCCAGAACCACAAATGGTTCCCCAAGGTTCATTCCTAAGAACAGAGCCAGAAAAGTTCCCGAGCACCATTGGGTGTGACCCAAACCTACCATCAAAAAAACTGGAGCGTATTCATGCATTTTATTTATTTTAAAGATATGAATTGTGTGCACTTTAATTAAAAAGACAAAAGCATAATCAATGCCTCAAGGGGCTTACTGTGGCAAAAAAAAAGGCTGTTACAGAATAGGATATCACACTGCCTCCTCCAGCTCTTCATGGTTTCCCATTATTCAGACACTTCAACATAGTAGATGAGGCTCTGCAGAATACAAATCTAATAAATCTCTTTTTGGCCTCTCTTCTAGCATTCCCTCCTATACTCACTTCTATACAAGCCTTCATACCTTCATACCATACCTAGCTTAAATGCCAGTAAGCAATAACAAACTAGTGGGCACTTATTAAGGGTCAGATCCCAGGGTGGGCTTTTAAAAACTAACATGGGAAATTTATGTTTCTGCCTTTGAAAGGAATCTACGACAGTAACAGAAACAGAGTGAAACTCATGATCATGGTAGGTTTGAAAAAAATGCTAGAATTAAAGTAATACAGAAGCCATTTGTCCTGCATGTGCAATGCAGTAGAAATTTTTCAGAGAAAGTAAAACCTGAATTTATTTATGGAGCACAAAGGCAAGGGGCAGCTATTCAGACAAAAAAAAAAAGCATAACGAAAACAAATGAGCAAAAATAACAGCTGGCACCAATGGCTAGGAAGGACATAAAGCACTCATTATACCAAAATTCAGGCTAATTGGGGATTCAGCAGTTGCTAGAAACTGATGTTCTTAGTAATGAGGATCATTACTTGTATCACTTATCATCCCCATTGTTCATTGATTTGCTCAAGCAGGCGCCAGTAACAACTCCATTCATCCCTGTCGCGTGCTACTGTAGCCAAATGGCATATTGGGGGCTCTTTCAGGGTCAGGGGAATGAGGCCCATTATTGTTACTATTTTTGGAATACAAAATACACCACGGGTAGCTTGCCAGGGTCTGCCGTGTGGGCGGGATACTCTTGGTAGCTTGTTGGGCTCTCCGAGAGGGACGAAGACTTTTGGAGCGGCCTCTAATCACTTGTGTCTCTGGGAGATTCTGCCAATGAGGATCATATTCAACCATATTTCATGTAGGACTTCATATTCTAGATAAATACCACTTCTCCCTCCAGAGAGGAAGAAGGATAGGGAAGATGGGTTCTAGGAGAAATAAGATATAACCAGGAATACCAGAAAGGAGACTTTAACAATACCCAGGCATCTAGGAAGTGGCAAGGTTTTTTTCTGTAAGGATTAAACAGAATTAAACTTTCACCAGCCAAAACAGGACCCCTGTTTTCAAAACTCAGTTCTGCTATATAGAGTGAAAGCGTCCATAGAAATAAATAAATGAAGGGCACGAATGTATTTTAATAAAATATTATTCATGAAAATAGCTAGAGAGAGATTGCATTTGGTCTGCAGGCTATGTTTAGCCAACCCCTGGTTTAATCTAAGGTATAACAAAAATAGACACACACACACAAAGGAGCAGATAGAAAGTTTAGCAGCACAACAGACTAGAACTTGGGAGACCTTGTGGTACTATGAGAAAGTGTTCAAATGTTTGTCAAATTTTATTTTATTCACATTTCAATGCAATCCCTCAAGGTGAGGATTGCTATTTTTTTCACATTTTGTTAAGGAAGAAACTAAGGCATCAAAGAAGATTTTTATCCAATAGCTCATATTTTTCAAATAATTTTTAGGCATGATTATTTACATGTGTCATAATAGAGTTTCAGGCATACAATGGTCCAACGCCAATCCTGCCATCAGTGTCAGTTTTCATTCATCATTGTCCCCAGCTTCCCTCCCATGTTCCACTCTGCTTCCTTACCAGGCACATTTAAAATTTAATTATTGTGGTGACGATAAATGCACAGAGTATTTTTGACACACATATGTATAAAGATATAGATGTATCACCCCTCTACAACACCAATGTGTCCTGGGCCCCTGATCTGTGCCTGTTACTTCCCATGCACCTCTTCTTTCTCCCCACTCATTTCTCTTTACCTGGGCCTTTTAATTTATATAATCTAGGGCCAAGGGTTTTCCAACTTTTGATAACTTGAATTTCCTGAGAGCAAGAATTTGAAGCTAAGTGACCACTAAACTAAAGCCAACTTTGAAGTCAACTGGATTTTAATTCAAAGTGAACTAGATTTTATTCTGAGTGAAAAGATTTGCTAGATGTTGATCTGGGCAAAATTCCCAATGTCCTTAGAAAACTATTATCTACCTCTTTAAACTATCTCAAGAACTAAATAAGGTCAATCAAGAAGCAGGTTAAAGACCTATTTTGGTAGTTATTAGTCAATAAATAGTAGTCTTTTATATCAGGAAAACTTAAAAGACAGAATTCAATTTATTAGAATAAAGAACACAAAGAGCAGGTCAGGAACTGAAGTTGATAAATTCTATTTGGACATGTTCAGTTTAAGGATCTATACAGACAGGTGCAGGCAACTTGAAAACAATTTCCAATACGAATCTGTAGCTAGATTCTATTAGTGTAGCTAGATTCTGTTAGGTGACTATGAAGACATTGATGAAAATTTCACAAGATCAGGACACATAATGAGCACCCTAAAACATTTGTTAAATGTTTTAATTTAATTTGTTATATTTGAGGAGAGAAGAAATAAAACAAACAAAATAATAATTGGTAAACAAAAAGTGATAATTGGTAAATCTAGAAGAGTATCTTTGTGTGCTACTGTTACTAGTCTTGTAAAATCTTTGTTTGAAGAACAAAGTTTTAAAAATAAAGATTTGGAAGTCACTGTCACTGTCACTGTCTTCCCATTGTTCATCGATTTGCTTGAGTGGGCCCAGTAACATTGTGAAACTTATTGTTACTGTGTTTGGCATATTGAATACGTCATAGATAGCTTGCCAGGCTTTTCCGTGCAGGGCGAGATACTCTCTGTAGCTTGTTGGGCACTACAAAAGGGGCGGAGGAATCGAAGATGGAGAAGTCAAATTCGGGTCAACCGAAAGAGTTGGTTGCAAAATTATAATTAATATGGAAGGCATTATATTACATAGGTGTAAAATTTAGACAGAGTTGCGGCAACTCAAGTTTATTTTTCATCCCTGTCCCTCACATTGATTCTCCACCTTTGAGACAGACTCAGTGCAGGACTGTATTACCTGGCTGATGTGCTTCTGGACAGGTTCAGCTGATGCATGAGTAGCAGAGCAGAAAGCTTGAGGAAAGAAGTGGGTATTTCATCCCTGCTACTCCCATAGTCAGGGCTCTGTCTCTGGGAGTATCTCTGGTTCTGCACGACTATAACTCTTTTCTGCTACCTCTCACACACGCCCTCCTGTTCTGTAAGTTCTTACTTGTTCATTCTCATAGGAGTGCCATCGCTCTCTACTGTTGCACCCTCCACTTTTCTAATTCTCCTCAAAGTCTCTCGAAGAAGTTCTTTCATGAGTATCTTATTTGAATTGTGTTTCCTCTAGAGACCTGATTGATCAAGTTCCTGATTTATCAGAGTCCCCTATTGATCAAATACTCTATCTTGTAAGTGATGAAAACTAGCTTTAA